AGCGTGCGCGGCCTGGCGGGGCTGGGAGACGTGTCCGAGCTGCGCAAGAGCTTCAACCGGCACCTGCACTTCACGCTGGTCAAGGACCGCAACGTGGCCACCCCGCGCGACTACTTCTTCGCCCTGGCCCACGCCGTGCGCGACCACCTGGTGGGCCGCTGGATCCGCACGCAGCAGTGCTACTACGAGCGCGACCCCAAGGTACCGCCCGCCGGCACGTGCTCACGGCTCCGCTCACGCACCAGCGCCCACCCATGCACACACCAGCCGCACACATGCTCACAGCTACACGCACGCTCACACTCACGGCCGCTCGCGCGCATTCACAGCTGCTCGCAGGCTCAGATTTGGGCCCTGCCCAGCAACACACTGCTCCAGGGGGGAAAATTGCCACTGGAAGCAAGCTGCAGGATATGCAGCACAGCTCACCTCACTGCTCTGCTCCTAAAATGGTTTTTCTCCGCGGCTTCCAGCAGGGCAGTAAGCTAAAAGGTGACTAACCGTGGGAGATAAAGCCTCGCCTCCCAGATACAGCACTGCAGACCCACTATTGTGTGCAGTGACCATCTTCCCTCCCATACTATCCAGGAGCCCCTGGTGCTGGGCAGGTGACCTTGCACAAGGACAGAAGGAGGGTGGTGGTCCTCAGTTATTTAGTTATCACGGCCCCAGTCCTGCAGGTGGGCAGTGGAGTGGATGGAGATCTGCAGGGTCCCAAAAGTCAGCCCTCCTGCAGGCACCGGGATGTATTGGTTGCTGGGAGAGCTGGCTAGGAGTTGGCATCTTACCCCACGCTCCATCCATCTTAATAGCTGTGTGAGTAGCCAGGCATGTTTGCATGACAGATTGTCCTTGCAAAGGATACCCAGCTCCCAGGCTTCGTGGGGAATGGAAAATGCCTTGCTTAAATACATTATTTGAAATGAGGCAGTCTCTGGGCAGGGTTTTTTGTGGGGGGTGGTTTAAGAGGAGGTTACATGAGTACATCAGTTGTGTTGAGAAGCAGCACCATGACATGCAGGAAAGTTAGACCTCAGAGATGCTTTGTGGGGGAATCGCTAATGAGGACCAGGCAAATCCATGCTCTGGGCAGCGTGAGGTAGTGCCCTCTATGTCTTCCCAGGCTTTGTCCAGTCTAGTGTGAAAGATACCCAAGTCAGTGATTTTTAAGGTGTTACAATCTTCTGGTCCTGACCTCCTGCATGATGCAGACCCTGGAACCTCAGCAGCTTAGTAAGTTGCCAGCTTCTGAAGGATTGTGATGCTCCAGTAAGGGGAAACATTGCTTGCAATTTCTGTTTTATTTTTTTAAATAACAGGCCTGGTAAAATAGAAGAAGTAATTTAAGGCTGTGGGTAGGAAATGAACTCCTCATCTACATGTAACTCAGAATTGCTATAGTGCAGAAATGAGAAAATGCAGAGAATTTTATTTCCCCACAATCAGTATTTCTGGCCTAAGGGCCTGACAGGGCATTTTGGATTTTCAGCTTTAAATTACTTCTTCTCTCGCTAATTCCAAAAGGAAACATACATAGCTTCCTTCCTCTTAGTGGGGTGAACCAAGGAAGGCAAACCCCATCCCTTAATGTGCCTACAAGGATGGACCAGGCCCCTCAGTAGGTAGGTGTACAAGGGAGGATGTCTGAAGAAAGGTTTGAAAATCACAGGTATGTCACTCACAGATTAGTAAGACCAAGGCATGAAGCATCATAGGAGCCTGGGAGAAGAAAGTGAGAAATGCCAGCCCGCAGCAAAAGACGCCGGCCTCATCTCTTGTGGGGATAGGCACAGCAGCCCTTGCTGCTGAAGTGGCTATGGAAACTTATGCCCTTTTGTAGAGAGAGCGAGTCTGCACTTCCCTTCCATTTCTAAAATCCCATCATGGGTGGTCTCTTGTCTCTCTTGCTCTTCAAGAAGTGGCACCATAGCACTAGGAGATTGGTAGCGGATAACATGGATCCACAGGCCCAATCCAAAACCCAGAAAAAATCACCAGTAAAGTCATCCCATTGACATGAGTGAGATCAGACCCAGGTCAGTGAATACAGTACAATTGCAGTGCAGAGCATCTTGACTAAACAACGTTACAGCATGGTTAAGTATATAGTATGTTGTTAGGCATCCTGGATAAGAGTGTTTCTTTAATTAACTGGGAACACAAGTTATCAGGCAGATTGTCCAGGGGCTGTCTTTTGGCAAAGGGATGCATGGAGCCGTGCTGCTGGCTGGCTGGAGTTCCTCACAAGAGTCTCGCTGACAAACAAAACATGGTACAGGTTGTTCTCAGATGGGCTGGGAGGTGCTGTGGTGGAAAACATCCTTCTTTGGGTCAGCACTTAAGCGTGTGCGTAACTTTGAGAGGAGTGGCCTTAAGCTGGTGCACGAAAAGCAGCAGGCTCTAAGAGTTTACTTTCAAAGACTGAGATACCCAACAGAAGAGTGGTAGCCTTCTGTGTGATTAAAAGTAACGTGTTAGGAGGAGCTTGTAACATGCAGGGCTGTAGAAGACCCTCGGTGTGCTCCCACAACAAAGATGGACAAGGTCCCTCAGGAGGTGTACAGGGCGGATGTCTGAAGAAAGGTTTGAAAATCACTGTCATGATTAGTAAGATCAAGGTATGAAGCATTATGGAAACCTGGAAGAACAAAGTTTGAAATGTCAGTCCTCAAGGAAAGAGCTAAGTCTCGTGCCATTTGCGGAGACACAATTAGAGACTCGCATGCAGGATTGCTGAGATGTGTACGTCAGAGGCTGTTCTCAAGGTTAAGCAAGTACTCAGTAGCACATCCTTGGTGCTCAGAGTTGTGTTTTTTTTCTTCCACCTGCTCTTTAGAGGGCAGTGCTCATGCCCTGGTTTACAGGGGAATGGCTTCATTAAGGAGAGGCAAGGATTTTTTGTGATATCTTTTGTTGGACCAACTATATTGTTGGGAGAGCTGTTACACAAGGTGTCGGGCATCAAGTGCCCTTCCTTAGGCCTGACAATTTGTCCCAACCACACCCCCCTAATATACAGTTGGTCCAGAAAAAAATATCAAAATATCCTTGCCCCTCACACGGTTCATGTATCATCACAGTTAAACACCACACAGTTAACACTCCACCACTTTATTAACAAGGAAATGAACACTTAAGTCCACATGAATTCCTCTCAAGCCATCTGGTCATCCCTCAGGTGGAAGGGGGCTGTGTTGTGTGATAGGAATGTCATTTTGAAGCCCTGCCTTTTATCTCTGGGGCTGGAACAATGAGCCCATTTCATAGATTTCATAGATGTTTAGGGTTGGAAGGGACCTTAGTAGATCATCGAGATTTCAGCAGAACCCAGTTCACAGTCCCCAGCAGGTTCACTACCTACTAACTAGAGGGGAGGGTTTCCGCTCAGTGCTGCCACCTGCTTGCAGCTGGATACAGGGGCAGAGATTAAATTAATCCTAGTGCTGAGATTTGAAGGGCAGCAGTTTTCTTGCTTCTGGGGCCTGCACCCCTCCCTGGGCAGTGCCAAACCCACCTTGCAAGGAGTGATCCGTGCCTGGCTCAAAGGCGAAATAACTATTGAGAAGCAAAAGCACAGAGACCAGAAGGAATATTACACACTTGTAAACTGTTTGTAACATGACTCAGCAAAATAGAGGTTTTACAGGCTTGGGTTGTGTGTTACCTTTTGTTTTTCTTCACCAAATGCATGTTGTGCCCCCCTCTGTATTCTATATTAGCTTCTGTATTTGCCTGTTTGTGTTAGGAAGTCACTGCACCAAAAGTGAAACCAATTTCCCTTGTTTTTGTTCTGTTCTGCCAGAGGATTTATTACTTGTCTCTGGAGTTCTACATGGGCCGCACATTGCAGAACACAATGGTGAACCTGGGACTGCAGAATGCCTGTGATGAAGCCATTTACCAGGTGAATACAGGGGTGGCTTAAAATTGGCTTTGAAGGCAGCGGGAGCGGGGGACGACGATGACGAATGTATTTGCTTTCTGTGGGGAAAAAAGTTTAATTTCTCTCCATCCTTCTTCCCTTACCCCCACTCCCACAAATACAAATGTCTGGAAACAAAGATATTGCGCTGTGAAAGTGGTAGTTCAGACATCTCCTGTCCCCATTCTCCTGTTCTAGCTAAGCTCCCCATCCTGGCACTATCTTCTGTGTTGAGCCATGACAACAGACTCCCATGATACGGTTGTGGTACATCATCTCGGGAGGTAAGATTTAGCCAGGGAGCCTGTCCTGATGAGGTAGATAAGAGCATGAAGCAGATTACCCTTCCCCTGGGACACCACAGCATAATTGCTAATAGAAACATTTGGGGATTTGGTTTAACACAGATACAGTTTCAAATTTAGGTGGGGAAGGAATTAAATTTCTCTGGAGATAATTCAATAAAAAGTGTATTTTTTTCATTTTTGACAAAATTTTCCCCAGGGAAGAAGTGTGGGGGGAGCAGAGAGGGCCCTTATATACATTTGGGAGCTTGGTCCTGCAAGATGCTGATCTCTCTGGACCTGAGCAGGTGATGCACTTAAACTCAGCTTAAGTTAAGGTCCTCTGATTTAGTCCCAAAGACAAAAGAGAAACTGAAATGTTAATTAAAATACTTTTTTTTTCCAAAATGAGATTGAAAAGTGAAGTATTGTGACAAACTCCATGGCTAGTCACAAAAACTGAAGAGCGTTTGATTCATATCTTCAGCAGTATTTTGGGGGAGTAGAGTGAAGTTGGTCCAAATTTGATTTTTCTGATGAAAAGTTTCATTAAGAAAGATTCCAAGTGGGAAAATGTTAACCCATGCTAGCGTCACGTGAATTGCATACAAGGAAAAGTTTTACATGTGAACAAGTTCTTGCCAGATCAGGGCAGTGACTTGGGTGACAGAAGTATAACTTTTGGGACCTACTCCTAAGAAGTCACAGCCTGGTATTTCAGAGACTGTTGAGTACCTGCCACTGAAAACCAGGATTCTTGAAAGCATCTTGGGATGGTTATTTGTCATTTTTGAAAGTCCTGATTAGAACTGTCTACGATTAGCGGGGGACGACTCTCATTTCTGTCCCTGCCAGAGTCTAGCAGGTTGGATTCTAGGGCAGAAACAGTGTTCATGCAGAGAAGAGCTATTTCAGGCCACTTCAAAGGCACTGCCTGCTAGCTGACAGCCGCCTGCCTCAGCTATCAGCAGCAGGGCCTGCCACATACTTGCCTTGTCATAGGTATGATCTCTGGTAGTAAATTGCCCTGGGAGACCTCTGATAACCTTAATTGTTTCAAGCTGAAGGTCTTATACCTCTCCAAGCCATTAATTTAGTTCACAGGGACTTATTAACCTGGCCTGTGGGGTGTATCTCTGCTAGAAACCTCCAGTCTGGTTTCCCCTTTGAGTCTCTCAATTGTTTTTGCCCAACTTAGAGAAAGCAAAAGCTTCAAAGACCTCCCCATAGAAGGACTTCTTTGCAGCCTGCCCTGGTTTCCTCCTTTTAGGGGTCCCTGCATGGGATCTCAGACTTTCTTTTGAACCTCATTCCCCTGCTTCATTGTAGCCTGCTCCCATACCAGGACCCCTGGCTTCATTTTCTTCCCCTGGGGAGGTGGTTTCACCCACACTGGGAAGCTGAGCCCCAGCCCTCTTAAAGGATCAACTCACCCAAAGCCAGTCCCATTAAATGGCTGTCTATGTCTTCAGTGCTGTCCTAGATCAGTATAAATCCTGCATTTCTATTCTAAAACCCTGTCTGTAGCATGGTTGCTAGGGTCTGTGCTGCAGCTGATACTGCTCTGAAGAGCCCTATTTGTGTCTGTCTGAGTAAAGCCACTTGGCTGTAATAAACACTTGCTTTTGTAGCTATGAAGCCACAGATAAAAGGGTGCTGAGTCTCCTTCTGTTTACTCCAGTGTAACTCTGGAGCACAATACATTTACCCCAGCTTATGCCAGTGCAAGTTAGAGGAGAGGCAGGCTGAAGCTTCCCAGCCCCTGTTGACTGCAGTGGGTGTTGGGGTGGATTGGCTTGGCACCTACTGCTGCCTGATACAAGGTGTGTGCAATTCAGGGTGAAAGTGTGGCGAGTGGGGGAGAGGAGGGAAGTGTCTGGGACAGGATGCTGGGCCACAATGACAATGGGGCTCTGTCGGCTGCTACTGCCTCACCAAGTACTCATATAGCAGACCTGCTCCCAGTTAGAAGAACAACCTCTTGGGACTTTTCCCCTGTTTTTTGACTCCAGTCACTTGCCCCAGAGGGTTTGCACCACTTATCCAGAGCTTCTTTAGAGAGGGAAAAGGAGAGAGGTGTGTCAAAGGGCAAGGCCCAACAGAAAAGTGCAGTCCCAGGTGAACCATCCATGTTGGGTCCAAATACCCATGGACATGTGTGGAGTTTCTGATGAGGGAAAAAGGCAGAAGCCTGCCCTAGATTGTTTACAGACAAATGGAGGAGGAGCAGAAATGAAATGTGCATTGGACCTGGGTCTTATCAGCTCTCTTCTCCCTCTCATTTAACATTCTTCCCCTGCCTTCTCTGCTCAGGTTGCAATCTGTAACCAAAAGAAATGCTCCTGCTAAGCCCGTTAGTTTTATAGCACTGACACTTCCATCTAATCTACCCACATCATTTTGCCTAATGTTATTGCTCTCCTGAAAGTGCTGTGACTCATGAAAAAGCCAGAACTTTGGCAGAGGCACCTTGTTACTCTGTCCTTGAAGCTGTTGTGGTTGTTTGAAAAAGCAATGGATCCTGAGCCTCGTTAAAGATTCAAGTGGTAGGTGAGACTTGAGGATTTTTTGGTTCTGTGGTTGGTGCTAATTACAGCTTTTGTGATGGAAGAATGGCCCTTGCAGTATCCAATTGTGGTGCCCCAACCTCCTGGCCCACAGTCACTTAATAGGCTTATACTGCAAAGTGGGGAGAGGGGCCAAAGCAGTAATAAACTGATGCAGAATGACATCATTGCTGGCTAATGCCTTGACTTTGTAGATGTCCCTGGGGGCTGTGCCCAAATGGCCCCTGTTACATGGTGGAGGGGAGTGGGAGTGGTGGATGGGGAGGGTCAGGATCACATTTGTCAAGACCTAGCCTCACAGGTTGTCAGTCTCCTCTCTCTCCCTGAGCTTTGCTCACATACAGCTCAGCCAGAGCTTGGAAGTTGACCCCAGAGGCCTAATGGGCAGGGGCTGCACCCTGGGAAAACCCTGCACCCTGCAAACCCTAGGGTCTGCCCGCCCTAGCTGTTGCTCCTACAGCAGCAGTGCAATGTCTCTGCTCCCAGCTACTGCTGCAAGAGAAACACTATGGTTGCTTCTCTTGCTGGGGCATGGCCTGGGGGCTGTGCCTGGGGCTAATGCCCTGATTTCCCTCCCCAAGTTCCTCTACTGGTTAAGCCCAAAAAGGCCATGTCAGGTATAAAGCTCAGTGCCCCTCTAAGTGACCAGGGTGCCTCACTGGACCTGTAGTTCTGGGCTACTTGTGCTCCTGCTCTCTATCTCAGGCTATTTTCTCCACTTGGACTGTTTTTACAGTGCAGAGCATTTGTTTCACTGTAGCATAGGGTGACCTTAATGTAAGTTCCGGATGAAGCATTTTGTTGCAGTTTTCTCAGTATTGCTAACGCAGCTTTTTCCACAGAAAATATCATTTTGATGGCTTTCTGGCCCCCACGCCCTTTTATTTTTTTTTGGTGGGAAAGCTGTCTAAGGAAATAGTGCTGGTGGTGGGATGGAGGAGGCCCAGCCCTCCTGAACAGCTGTGCAGAAGCCTTGAGGAGTGCAATATTTATACCTGGAGGATGAGCAAAGGGAAAGTTTTTGGGAGAGGGTCAGAAGAGAATGGGAGCCATCTTTGTAGTGGGATTTCACACAAAGATGGCTGGGACAGTCTGAGCCTAGTTCTAAACTCAGAGCTCTTCTTAGTATGGGATGGCATTCTAGGAACATGTAAGGGGAACATGTGAATTTGGCCATAGCCATGTTCTAAACTAAGCATATTTTGAGCCTGTCTAGGCAAGAGGCAGTTCTTCATCCTGCAAATGGGAAGTGTCCTGAAGCAACGATGTAAATTAGCATGCAGTGATTATCCACACCCTTGTCCTCCAGTTGGCTGATAGCCATCCTTTCCCTGGTTCAAAATTTAAATGAAAGGGCTTTGTAGCTTTGAAGATTGCCAGGAAAGGAGTGTTTGTTTGACGTATCTAAGGAAACCTGGGGATCCATAAAAGGCCACAGCTGAAGTTGGGTTGGATCCTTTTCAGAGTTAATTTAGGTGCCAGGGACAGAGAGAGCCCTGCGTTCACTTTTCTTTCTCCTCTTTGGGGAACTGGAACAAGTATTTCCCAGGGTGCTGTGCTCATGCTGTGTTTTCTGCTGCCATTGTTTTGTCAATAGCTAGGCCTGGACCTGGAAGAGCTGGAAGAAATTGAAGAGGATGCTGGGCTGGGCAACGGAGGGCTGGGACGCCTGGCAGGTAATTTTCAACAGCCAGGGGAAAAGGTCTGGTCATTGTCTTCCTAGGGATTTCCTCTCTGCATGGGCTTTCAAAGGCCTGCTTGAATGGCACCATTGTGCTACGCCCTCCTTCCAAGGGGGCTCCCCACTGCAGGCATGCTGGATGTGCCCCTGCCATCTGTCCTGACCACCCTTACGCATGTGGCCAGGTGAGACCGTGCAAGCTGTGGGCCTTGGGTAAAGCACCTGTCTGTCTCTCCCTCTCTGGAGGGCTGCTGCCTGCCCCATCTTCACAGAGCCTGCAGCTAATACACATGGAGCTGTGCTTATGTTTAGCTAGTCCTCTAAAGTAATTTCACAATTCCTCCATGTCCCTTCTACTTGCGTCTTTCCCATCCTTCTCCACTGCATCAGAAGCTGCCTGCTGGTTTATATAAATGTAGGCAGCATTTAGTCAGTTGTTCCATGGGTCTGCTCTGTTTTCAACTTGGCACAGCCCAGCTTTATTAAACATGGTTATGAGATGTCTGTCTCCCACTCCACCCCCATGTGCCACTAGCTGGCTGGAGGAGTGCACCAGCCTTCTGATTAACCCCTGACTTAGGCCCACGTCCCTGCAGTCCCTAGGACTATGAACCACACCCATCCACTCCTTTCAGGGACTGACTTCCAGTTCCCTGTGACTTGGCACTGTCCACTGGAGGGAGAAAGGGGGTTCAGATAAAGACGGACCTTATCTGCCTCCTTGGGGGGAGATACAGGGGTGGGGAAGCTGGGGCTTGGTGTGACCTGCCAAGAGGTGAAGGCCCAAAGAAACAGTACTGTGTAGTCAGTGATCAACCCTTCTGAGTTTTCCTGGGCCATCCCGAATTTCAGGGCTCTGTCCCCAAAATGTCCATAGAATGGAGCTCTTGTCCGAGATTTGGATTATTGGTTCTGAAACAGCCAATTCCTCAATATTCCCATACAGCTGAGGGCTCGTTAGTGCAGCAGCAAGTTATATGTCCACTGCCTCCCCACAGAGCAAGTCATCTTGCCCACCACATGTTCCTAAACAGGTGCATGAACTGGACCCAGGAGCGGGTATCTGCTCTTTCCAGGTCTGGAGGTGTTTAGAACATCTGTGATGATACGGTGGCACAGCGGGCATGGCAGCCCAGAATGAGTGCCTCTGACACAGTTCCCTGCTAATCCACCTGTTTGCTCTGCACAGACATGTCACCTGTTCTCAGAACAAATGCACTGCTTCTTTCTCCCCTTCACCACTCCTGGGAAAAACAGCTTCTTTGTACTTCTGTACCCTCACAAATTTAACCCAGGCAGAGTCAGATTTTGCCCCTCTCTTGTGGAGTGGCACTTTCTTCCCTCCTCGGTGTGGGGGAGGGAAGGTGCTGCCTTGTCACAAGCAGTGTACAGTCCAGTTTAGTCCAGCCTGAAACAGACTGGGATGTTAAGCCATTTCCAGGTCATTGTCTCCCTGTTTGCATCCCCCTCTGCCCTCCCCACACCCCAAAATTGCATGTGCTGGGCTGGAAAACATGTTTGGACCCAGGCATCTGAATGGAGTTTCCATGAGCCAGTCCTGCCCGTTCCTCAAAGTGTGCTTTTGCTTTGCCCTTTCAGCCTGCTTCCTGGACTCCATGGCAACGCTAGGGCTGGCAGCTTATGGCTATGGGATCCGCTATGAGTTTGGCATTTTTAATCAGAAGATTGTCGACGGCTGGCAGGTATGTGACACCAGTTTGAAATTTGCTGCTTGCCATTGCTGGAGGCAGTAATTAACTGTAGTACAGTGGCACCTCAAGACCTGAGCCAGAGTTAGGGCCCCAGCATCTCAAAGAACTCAGAATCCACATGGGTCAGGGGTGACGCATTGGGGACCTGGAGCAGTGAAGTGTCTGCCTCAAGTTCGTGCACTAAATCATGACCAGAGGAGGTGTAGAACTTGTATTCTGCTGAGTCCCAGTCCATGCCCTTCCCCACTAAGCCATCCTTCCTCTCAGTGGGTTATAATGACCACTGCTCAAAGCTCTGAGGAAGAAGAGCTGCCCTTCAGGACCAGTATTCTGCCATGTGGGCTGCATGGCCATTGTCAATTGAGGCTGTGGCAGTAGTTTGTCCAGTGGTACCATCTCCACTTCTCCCTTCAGCATGGAGTTGGCCTCAATTCTTTCTTGGACCTGTAACCATAATCTCAGCAGCTGATGGAGGATGGTAACCATGCGGGAGCACTGTTTGTGCAGTAGAGGTCACACAAAGGGCCCCTTGTTGAAAGTGTCTGTCCAGTGTAGAGTTACTGCTGAATAAATAAAATAATAGAGGACATCTGAGCTGCCCCACAGGGCACAGGGACTGGAGTAACTGGTCTCTCTGCCCTGTGTTATGCAGGAGGGTCAGATGAGGAGACCTTATGGCCCTTATGGCTTTAAGATGTACAAAATTTTAAGACAGAGAAAGGAATAAGTTATTTTTGCCACATGTCTGCCAATAGCATCCACTGCTGTACCTTTAACTGTGAGTCAGGGGAGCTTTCTCTCATTTTGAACAATCATATAGTTGTTCTCTAAGGACAATAGAAAAGTAGGGCTGGAAGGGACCTCAGACAACCTTAGACAAGTGTTTGTCCAACTTGTTCTTAAAAACTTCAGGAATAATCCTCATGTACAACTACCAGGCATAATTCCTGTTCTGTCCCCTCCTCTCCTCCATTGTCATTGATTTAGTATTATTTCAAAGAAAAATGCAAGAGACAAGAATTATTTGGAGTGATATATTTTATTGGATCTATAAAATTTTAGTCTAATAGGAAAGATGTAAACAAGCTTTTGGGTACCCCCGTACCCTTCTTCAGGGCTCTGAGAGAAGAAAAACCCAGATACAGCAGAGCTAAATAGCAGATAGAACAAAAGCGTGTGCAAAATGAAAACAGGATATAAGAGGTCACTGACAGACAAGAGAATGGAGTAGGAAGGATAGCCTGATAAGTGGAAGGGCAGGACCATTCTAGAGGGTTGTTATCACCTGTAGAGTGCTAAAAGATTAGTGGGGATCAGGTAGATTATAATGGGTCGTGAAATCAATGTCCATGTGAAGTTCCTGGTTCTTAAAAGAAACATTTGGTTGTAACATTGAGCACAGCTAAAAAAAAAAAAAAAAAAGACACCTTTTTATTTAATAGATATGTTTCCTCTTTGTATTTAGTTTTAAACAGTGCATTCTGCTGACCAAAAGAACCGTTTCCTCCATTTGTACTCACATTGGCCCTGCAAAGATAGCCCTATTATGGGAAAGGGAGTCTCTTCTAGAGAGTACATCAGCAACAGACGAGTTAATGAGGCTCTAAGCTGCAGGCTCGTTATTGCTGGGGAAGGAGACACACTGATTTGCTTTTGCCTCCTTACAAGGGTTTGCAAGGTTACATTTTCATGGGGACATATTATTAGTGTAAACTGTGCGAATTTAACATCAAAACCATCTAGACGCACCAAATGTGGAAGTCTCTGCTGCTTTCATTAGGGCAACTGGGCTGTTCCCTCAACTGGTATAAACTAGCAGAGCTCCACAAACTCAGTGGAGTGCTCTGGTTTGTACTAGCTGAGTTCTGGCCCTTAATGATTTGGGTATAAGTCTGCTTTCAGCAACTTTTGTGCGTTCATTTTTAAAATCAGCTTTTTAAAACAAGTTTTTTCTTTCTTTTTTTCTTAAATCCAAGGTGAAAAGAATCTTTCTGCTAAGAGAGATCTCGTTTGACAGTACCAAACTCGAGCTTATGCTGTCTGTTTGTTTCAGGTGGAGGAAGCAGATGATTGGCTGCGCTATGGCAACCCCTGGGAAAAAGCCCGCCCCGAATACATGCTTCCTGTGCACTTCTATGGCCGGGTAGAGCACACCGCAGAGGGTGCGAAGTGGGTTGACACTCAGGTATAGTGCCCTCCTCTGTCTTGTGGAAGTACCTCAGTCTGCCCAGTCCCCATTTGAGGTTGGGTCTTCTAGTAGAAACGCGATTCCCTATCCCTTCCCAGCTGTACCAAGCCAAACCCAATCCACTTACAACTCCAAATACGTGATCTTAATATCGAAACAGTGTCAGAGAGGGCACTTTGAAGCATTCATCTTTAAATTACTAGGGGCTTGATTCTCCACTGACTTACATTGGTGCAAGACCCCACACCCCTGCCTACATTGGTGTACTTTAGTATACAATGGCACCTATGGTGCAACATGGGGAAAACCTTCCTAACCTTTCTCTGGTTATTAATGTCTTAGAACCTAAGCTAGAAGTGGGCAGAATATGGCTTGTGGGCCAGATCCGGCCTGCCAAGGAATTTTATCCGACTTGCGGTGGGTCCCTTGGCTCCACCTAGCCCAGGTGCGGGGGACAGCCCAGGTTGTGGCACGTGTGGCTAGTCTACCACCCCCAGCCGCACAGTGGGGCTGGGGCGGTGCAGTGGCTGGACTCTGCTTCCCGGCAGCCTCAGTGATGTTTGCTCCTTCTGGCTGCCACTGGTGCCAGCCCCAGCCCGACTACCCAGGCACTCCAGCCTGTCTACCTCACATGCACTGCCAGGGGCACTGGATGGAGTGGGCAGGCAGGCTCTCCATGGAGCCTGGGCTGGGTATGCTTGGCCAGGCAGATGGCATGAGGCCGCTGGCAGGCGGGGAACAGCATCTAGGAACAGGACAGGCAGGTAGGAGTGGGGCCGGGATTGTGAGGCAATGACAGCATGAGGCCAGGGTCTGAGATAGAGCCGTGATCTGCTGCCTGTACGTCCCTACAATGGGCAGGATTAATCAAGTCTGCTCCGATGCTATCTAATCAGAATGTGTCAGAGCATGTGTGGAGGCACTCATTAGGTCCCCAGTCCTGAGTGGGGTCTCTAGCCTCTAGGGAAGATAGGATCAGATTTGTCAAAATGGCAGACAGTTTCAGGGAAACTTTTTTAGCATGAGAGAGAGCCGTGATGACATGACCCTTATGGACCCTCTCTGAGTCAGTGGAAAAATTTACACTGATTTCAGTGGGTCACAGATTTCATCCCTTGTCTGAAATGTTTCATTTCCTCCAAGTGTGTGTCAGAAATGTTGGTTCAGTTCAATGACACCCAACCTTCTGCACCCTTGGGTTAGATGAGTGGTGTGGGGTTGGTCTGCGGACTAAATCCTACATGGTGTTGGTCCATGTGCCTCATCAGGTCCTGTACTGCCTCAGTCCAGCATTGTGTTGCCCGCTGCCTCGGTCCAGCTGCCCATCTACTGGATCTGGCCACATGCCACCTATCTGCTGGATCTGCCCCTGTGCCAGCTTTATCTAGTGCGCACTGCTTACCTGTCAGATTCAGCCACACGCTGGTGTGATCTGGCATGCAGTGTCATGTTATCTGGTTTGCAAGGCTCCCCTTGGGACTGAAAATTTGGCAGCAAGGGAGCAGCAGTTAATGCTGCTACCACTTACCCGCTGCCAAATTCCCAGACCCTTGAAGAGCCCTGTGAGCCAAATGATATGGCTCTGTGGGGCAGATATGACCCATGGACCACGTGTTGTACCCCTGGTTTAGTCGTTTGTCTCCAAAGGAGACGCACTGAGTTCCATGCAGCTGACTGTGTGGGGTTTTTAGATGAGACGTTCACCATTTTCTGCCCTGGCTGGTCTTAGCAATCTAGCCTTGCTCTGGTGGTTACATTAAATGTCTCCTGCTTCCGAGATTATACAGGATGTTTTATGCTATGCTGGGCTTCAAAGCCACCGCCTTCCAGCCCAGAGGCCACAGCAGCCCACCCATGCTTTTTATATATAGTTTTTCAAGGCACTGTGGGATGAATTATAGTGATTGAGCCAGGATGAAGGTGTTCACCTGTTTGATCAGAAAATGTCCCAAAAACTGAAACGACTGTTGCTCCATAGAGATCATGTTTGCTTAAGTTCTGCTTAAGGAAGGTGCATTTAGCTAATGACAAGCAAGTTAATGGTGGTCTACCAGATGTTAAAGCATGAGATGTAAAGCACTGGTCCCTTCGTACAGGAATTCCTAAATAAAAGTTACTGGTTACTATATATGTCTCTGAGCAATGCTGGTCAAACATGTCCAGATGTGCAGGCCACAGGGGTAGTTCAGCTGGTGGAACAGCAGGAAGCCAGGCAGGACCAGAGCTATGCTGGACAGGTGATGCCCATTTCTTGACTCAGTGTCTTGCAGTGGATGCTGCCCATTCCCTCAAAAGCTGTCCCAAGACAGCAGGGCAGCAGCTGCTCCTGGGAGTTCAGTTCCCTAGGTAGCCATGCATTTTGCTGACCCTGGATGGGATGTGGTTAGATGTGGATTCATACAAAGGAACCACAAGTATTCAGGGACCCTGCCATAGACTGGACCCCTGTGACAGGGCAGAAGGGGCTGAGTACTACCATCCTGGTGCATTGCAGGCCCGGGGGCCTGCCACAACTCATTCAGAATATAGGGGGCAGGATGCAAGTCCCATCACTTCCTGTAATTGGGAGTGCTGTATGAGTCCACCCCGCCATGGGCAGTGCCCCTCCCCTTCCCAGTGAAGCTCTCTTTGCCCTCCCCTATAATCCCTCTCCTAGACTTGGTAACTAGTGGGTCTCATGGTATCAGAGCTCTGCTTCAGCCAAGCCCTGCCAAGTTGCAAGAGGCAGAAGAGCTCATCTGTACAATGAACAGACAGAGGACCAGGGTGAGTACAAAGTGTTTTTGTTGCCCACACCTGGGTTGCATAACAGCAGCATCAGTCTCGCCTCTCTGGCTGTGCCTTCTCTCATAACAGCTGCAGGGGACAGTTCTACAATGAAATGGTACCTGGCAGTCTGAGCTATCTGGTTAGGTCCGTCTGTGGTCCAAGAGTGCCTCACAGCCCTGAATGTTTTTACCCCCCTGGGGGGAAGAGGGAAACAGGCACAGAGAGACCAAAGGACTTGCCCAAGTTCACACAGAGTCTGTAGCCAGGCAGGAGGTCTCCATGCTCTCAAATTAGGGCCCTCACTGGACCAAACTTCTTCTTATGCATCAGCATCCAGGACTCCCCTATTCATCGTGTCTTGGGTGTTTCTATCTTGGATATGCTCAGTTGGCAGGTAGAGGGATGTTTGTGGTAATTGCCAATCCTGCAACTGGGCTTTCAGGGTGGCCAACCCTATTGGTTGTCTGGCAAGTGTTGGGGGTATTTAGTGACTGATTTCCCTTAAAGCCCCAGTTCTGGAGTTGGGTGATGATGGGGGAATCTCAAGTTTCCAATAAAGCAGGGCTTTTTTTAGCCGTCCTGGTGGAAGAGGAACACTTAGAAATATGAATGATGAAGGTTCCAAATGCAGAAAGCAAATAAAAAAGTGCACCCCAGATAGAGTATTTCTGGAACCTTATGAGACTGATTCACAGACCATGTCTGGGGAGACCTGATTCATGGTGCTTCAGTGCTCAGAACAGGCAGTATTGGTGCTTGGAGTGTATTTCCCCTGACTTACACCTGGAGTGTACACAAACCTAGAGTGGATGGAAAATGATGCCACTTTGGTGGGATGTTGTATTCATGTGGTACGTTCCATGGGCAGATGTAAGTTATGATGTAGGAGCACAGTAGATGAGAAAGTAGCTGTCTTCCCATTTTCCAGGGCATCCCCAGGAGCTGCATTCCCCTGGGCTGGAATTGTCTACCCCCACCCCTACCCCTGTGCAGTCCTACTGTCTTCAGGTCATCTTGGAGCTTAACTAGGGCAAATGCACTGGTATCTCAAAGGGTTCCACAGATGTGTCTTGGGGTCTGGAGGGTGCAGTAAGACAAAAGTTTCCCTGGCAAATCGTGGTTCCTGTTGGCCATAGACAAGCTTTCAGAGCCCAGCATGAATCTGTGGGGTGAGATGTGGCAAGAGGAAAGAACTCTCTACTTTCAAGCTGAGGAAGTGAAAGTTGGAAATCTTAGCAGGTAACAGAGCCACCTATTGCCATATGCATGGAGATGTTTTTCAGGGTATTGTGTCATTTTAATCATCCAGACTTTGTTGAACTAGGGTTGGGATGAAAGAGCAGTAAGGTCAGCTTCCTTCATCCTTGGAGGAGCTTGTCTGTTCCTCTTCAGATCTTCTGTTGGCTCTGTAAAGTGCAGGGGAATCTGTGCAAACCACCCAGTTGTAAGCTCTCAAAGTCAAGGGATGGTCTCCCTTTGTGATTTGATGGGAGCCCCAGCTGTATTGCTTGGATAGGACCATGGGGCCGTCCCATAGCTTGGAAAGTGGGGCCCTGGGATCCATAGACGGAGCTATAGGACCAATAAGTCGCAGCTGGCTGCTGCTGCCCTGTTACATAGGGCAGTTTCATGCAACTTGGCTGATAGCATGGCCCAGCTGTGAAGGCTCTCTACAAAGATTCAGGCAGGTGCTTAGTTGGATACATGGTAAAGTCCAGCTCCTTTGGTCTCAGTGGGGCTGCTCATATGAGGAAAGTTTAAGCATGTGCTTATGGCAGGGCAGGATCGAGGCCTTAGCTTGGCTGTTCAGTGGCACAAGCACTTACCTCCTACATTTGACTTCCTTTTATATGTTTGAAGGTGAAGGTCGTGGTGTGTCATGCTTTCTGCTTGATAAGTTTTAAGGTATGCGGAACTTGACAACAGTCAGCTACTCTGCCATTGGCAGGCGGGATAAGATTCAAGATGTAGCGCAGACAGGAGGGTTTTTGTTTGGGGCACCTTGGGGTTGGAGCTGATTCTCCAGCTCTAGGCCAGTGACTCAAGAGTCCCAAAGATACAGTGGGAACCTCTGTCTCTCATTCTCACCTCCTTTCCATCTCCACTGCCCCAGGGAAAGGCGAATTCAGGTGTCTCCTTGGGCTGTGAGTCAATAGGCTCCATCCAGGAAGCTCAAGGATAGAGAAGTACAGCCCTAGCTGACACTGTTATGAATGTGAAATGTGAGCCCAGGAGCACCAGCCTTACTCGCATGCAGTTAAGCAAGTGCCTGTGTCTTTGCAGGGCCGAGGCCTCAGCAAGCATATTGCAGTTTTTCACATGCATGTAGTTGCCTCCCTTACGTCCTATCGAATTCAACCAGTTAAATCCAACGAGCAGCAAATAGGTGTTTGCAGGAATCAATCTTAGGCCGCTGGCACACAGTCGTTTAATGGCACTGTGGGATCAGAGGTCAGATCCCAATCATGCCTTTATTATTTGTCAGTTCAAGGGAAGCCCAGAATCATAAGCCTATGCTCCCTCTTCACCAGCAAGTTAAAAGCTGAGTGTCCAGCTCTGCATTTGTGACTGACAACTCATTGTCAGCCCCAGCCCAGACAGCTCCAGGTTGTTGGCCTCAGTCCCCAGAATGCCTTGGGTCTCAAACCAGACCTGGGGCTGTTCAACCAGGGCTGACAATCAGCTGATTGTCAAAACCCTGCACCCAGCAGCTCTGACTCAGCTACTGGGCATGGGGAGGGGATTGGAGGCTTGGTACAGCTCCACATCAATCGCACCATAAATGTAACATGCAGCAAGGGCCTTAGTAGCAGAGAATGATACCCTGGGGTTTTGGGCCCATCAGTAACAGAGAGAGGTCTATATTCTACAGAAAAATTCAGATTTTAACAGTCATGGGATGTTTGTTAAGCTTGAATAAATAAATAAGACCTGGTTGATTAATTAATTGTTAATTGTTGCATTTTTCCAAAAAGAGGGTAGGTTACTTGTAATTGCCTATAGCACCATTTGACTTGTGTGCCTGAAGCCACCCATAACAAATACTTCCTGCTTTCCTCTGTAGTGCTTAAAACCTTTATTTGTCCTGTATTAGGCCTTTGGACACAGTTTATAGAGATACCTGCAATATAACCTTCATGCAGTTTAGCTCTGACACTGAAGGAGTTATTTAAACCATGATGTCTGTTTTTCTGTTAATCTACATGTTCTTGTTCCTTCTCAGCTTTGTGTCCTTTCCTTGACCTGCTTTGGCTCCAGGGATGCTTGTAGTTGCTGATGCAAAGTAAGCTATTTTCCTTTTGCAGGTAGTGCTGGCCATGCCATATGATACCCCAGTCCCAGGGTACAAGAACAACACAGTGAACACCATGAGGCTGTGGTCTGCCAAGGCACCCAATGACTTCAACCTTCAAGAGTGTAAGCTCTCCCTCTGCCATTTGGGACTGTCTCTTGTTGGTGCTTATGTACAGCTCCTAGCAGCACTGGCATTCCCTAGATACAGTAATGCACAGTACAAATCACATATTGTCTTCATGTTAATTCAGTTAGCTTTGCTGGGAAAGGGCAGTCTTTGCTGACCCCCATGAGAATTGCACCCTCAGGTCTAGGGTTTGGGAAGAGAGGTGGATCTGGGCTTCCAGCTTCATAGTTCTCCTCCTGTGAGGCTTGCTCACCTCCCAGCCCTACTTGCATCCCTGCAGCTGTGCTTTCTTGGCCACTGCCAAGCCTGATTTTGAGCTATGTGTCTGCCTCTATCCTGCCAGCAGGGACTGAAAGAGACAAGCTTAGCCTTAATACCAGGCTCCCCCAGACCACACCCCTGTGCTCCTAAGAAAGCAAAGCTACCTCCTGACTGCCTTCAACCTACACCTCTCCTCTAGCACCCATCCACTTAGATCCACCCATCCCAGACCACCTAACTCCCCTCCTTCCACATCCCACTGCGCCCTTCCTCCCACCTGCCTCCTGCCAGCTACCAGGCTTTGTTCAGGCCCATGCCCAGCTCTGGTTGCTGGGTGGGGCGAGAACTTTAGAGACATTTGCATGTAATATGACCTCCAGAGTGGAAGAAAATTGGGCAGCTGTGCAGAGGGGAGGGGCAAAGTCAGACACATGACTGTGTGGAAGCTGTGCATACCTTACAGGGCAGTCACGGCTAATGCAGTGCTCTACGTACTGTCTCTTTCTGCAGTCAATGTGGGCGATTACATCGAGGCTGTGTTGGATCGAAACTTGGCAGAGAACATCTCTCGAGTCCTGTACCCCAACGACAATGTGAGTCCCTCCATTCCTAGCTCTTCGTCTGGCTGATTGGAGCTGGTGCAAGCAGCACAGGGGTTTGACCCCCTCCCATTGGTTCTTCCTTGAGGACTCCTGTGAAGGATACAAAATAATAGGAAAATCCTTCTGAAACAATCTCAGAGCAAACCTTGGTCATGCTGGACCTGGCAGTGTGGACCAAGCCAAGGACGTGTTCTGGAGGGAGTCAGGCTCTTGTCCTGCTGTCACCCCACCCTGGAGCAGGAACATGAGCTGTCTAGTCTGTCTGTTTGTTAAGCCAGACTAGCACATGTGCTTGGAGGAGCCAGGAAGGAGATGGTAGCCATGGGCTGCTTTGGGGAAGCCGGTGTTGTATTCACTCAGGAAATTGGACAGGCACACGGCATGGAAAAGACTGTATATGGAGGTCTGGTTTGCTAACCTTTCTCTGCCCATGGCTGTAGTACCCTCTAGTGGTGACTGGGGCACACAGACCAGATTGAGGAGCCTGCTTAGGTTGAGGACCCAGCTAATAGAGGAGAGCCTTTTAGCTCAGGCAGGAAAGACTTGTGTCTACAATCCAGAGACCCACAGTTCAGTCTCCACTACTGACAGTCTTTCCTCCTGCAATACCTTGGACTTGTTACCAAAAACCTTTAGAGTCCTGCAGGCCACCAGCCTAGAACAACCCCAGCTTTGCAGCCTGCCAAGCTTACCTTATTGAGATCATCCAGCTCAGTCCAGGAACATGGGTCACAGTGATTCTTCTTCAAGTAACCAGGGCCGAGCACCACCACACCTCCCCACCAAACCTTCCTTTGCCTTGGCCTCTGTGATAAGCCTGTAGTTCATGGCTGCTGGATTTCTGGCAATCCTGTGATGCAGGTAGTGGTGTGGCTCTGGGACCAGGATGCCTTTGTAGTTGACAGGTTGAAGAGCGGAGAAGGGTTTTGCCTTACTCTAGCCCTCTTCCCTTGCATCTCTTGATTGCCTTTTAACAAATCTTGAATTGGCAGGACACTGACAGCTCTTGTTTCCGTACTTAGCCTCTGACAGGTTGGGGTGTCTTTGGGGAATATACCTTGTAGTTGTGTAACAGGGCTGGTTTGTATAGTTTTAATAAAGGGTTAGACAAGAATTTTTATAGGATGGTTTGGATAGAGATGATCCTGCCTTGAGCAGGGGATTGGACTATATGACCACCAGAGGTCCCTTCCAGCCATACTTCTCTATGATTCTATGTCGTGGTGAATGAACAGCCATAGGAGGGTTACAGTAGTGGCTGGTGGCAGCAGCCCAGCTGATGTCTGTGTCTCATGTCCAGTTTTTTGAAGGCAAGGAGCTGAGGCTCAAGCAGGAGTACTTTGTGGTGGCAGCCACCCTCCAGGACATCATCCGGCGCTTCAAGTCCTCCAAGTTTGGCTGCCGTGACCCAGTGAGGGCATCCTTTGAAACCTTCCCTGACAAGGTGAGTACCAGGTACTAACTGACCACTGCTCCAGACTGTGGCAGGAGTGAGCATCCCTGTGCTGGCTGCCCCATGTCCCGTCTGCCCATCACCTCCATCCCCTGGGTAGATCAGCAGTGGGAGCCAGGTTTGCCCCTAGGAACTTGGGGACCTGAGAATGTGGACAAGCTACTCAGTCACTCAGGAGCCCTAGCCATTGGGATCAGTTAGAGAACAGTGGAAAATTCTTGTGGGGTAAAAACCTCCCTTTTCTGTGACACATTTCCATTTGGAAATTTTGGGAAGATGTTGGCCAGCTCAAAAGGATCTGCTCCAGTGCATCTCTGCCCAACGGCTGTCTGTGTTGTGGTGACAGGGGCCTCAGTCCTTAACTCCCTCAAGACTCTGTCCCCAAACGTGTAGGAGATGCAGCTGCTTCTCTTCCCCCCCACACCCCTGGTAGTGTATGTGATATGGGTGTACTTATGTTACAGGTGGCCATCCAGCTGAACGACACCCACCCAGCACTCTCCATTCCCGAGCTCATGAGGATCCTGGTTGATGTGGAGAAAATGGATTGGGACAAGGTGAGCAGGGGAAGTGATGCCTGAGGCAGAAGGAGGATGGGGTTGGGTTGCTGGCATGTCCAACACTGACCCATCTGGGCTCTGCCAAGTGTGTGCATGGACAAGATCTGGGTGAGTCCCTGATCCCCCTGGCCCTGCCCTTGTTTTCAGGGACTTCATCTTCCATCTTCTTCCTCTCCTCCCTTGGCTGCTGCTTGTTTCTTTAGTGTGGACTTGGCAGTGAACCATGAGGCTGCCCCTGGCAGCCAGGGTCTCCTTCAGCCTCATCATCTCACCGCCAGTTCCCTCTCTCCGCTCTCCTCCTCTCCTGTAGCCCTTGGCCATTCTGCCCTCTCCAACTCTGCCCATTCCCACCACTCTAGTTCTTCCCAGGTCCACACACCTTTCCACCCATCTCTACTGGATATGCAGCCTGTCCTTTTTACACTCTGGCCCTCCTGTCTGTGCCATTAGAGTGAAGCTGTGACAATGGTCCTGTCAGGCCACAAGTCTTGCCCTGTTATGGATGGGCAGTTTCCAGCCAGGATGAATGGATGTCTGTCCATTGGTCTGTCTGAAGAGCAACAGCCAAGCACTCCTGCGGCGTGAGAGGAATCTCTCAGCCTTCTTGATGGCCCTGAGATATGCCCAGCCCCGCTGCAGGAGGACCCAGGACTAATGAACCCCAGATTGAACTGAGGCACCCATAGAGCTCTGAAACTAGGGAGGAAAAGGCAGGGGGGGCCTGCCCTGAGTACAGGGCAGCAATAAATGCTTCCAGACCATAGGAGAGGCAACCAACTGAAAGGCACCATGTTTCTGGGCCCATGCTTTCCTCTCACTTCCCTCCCTCCCCTCAAGTGCTGCATGGAGCCAGAGCCAAGGTGCGTGTGAACCAAGGTGGGTGTAAGCCAGCCTGGCTCTGTTCACCCCAGCAGAAAGGACTGGCCCAAAGATTTTAAATAGCTCACAGGGCTCTTACAGCAACGCTGTTTGGCCTTAGGGCATTTGATATGGGTAGGTGTGAACCTGGACCAGGGTGAAAGGCACTGCCAAGACAGGCTGGGCTCGGCACGCTGTCCTCTTTGCCTGAGGCATGACTGATCCAGGGCCCTGGAAGGGAGTGTATTTCCCTGCTGCCCTGAAAGGAGTCTTCTTTCACCAGGTTACAAGGAGGTCTACCCGGCTCCCTAGCCAGTAGGCCATGACCACTGAGGTGTAGAAGCACTGGCAGGATACCAGCCTTAGCTGTATGGGGGTCTTACTTGGAGCCTTGCATGGCAGTGGGAAGTATGGGAATCCACTCGCACTTTCCCCTTCCCAATTCAGCCACCTGCACTGTGCAGGGCCTGTGCTGACATGATGCCACTCAAAACCCCACCACGGAGGCTGTGGGGCCCTGCTGACAGAGAGTGGGGACTCAAGAAACTGGGATTCAGTTCCTAGCTCTGCATCTAACTGATTGGCTGGCCTTGGGCATTTCTCTTCCCCTCCCTGTGCCTCAGTGTCTCCATGGTTAAGTTGGGGTGACATCTAGAGCTGGCAAGTGTGGCATGGTACAGCCTTGAGGAATCCCCAAGTGTCCCAGCTGTGCTTCTAACCCTGCAGCTCTCTGAGACAATTGGGTCGGGTTTATTTTCAGCATGATCTAGTCACTTTGGTTCCCCTGGGCTCTGCCAGAGTAGAGCGCATGGTGCTGCTTGGAGGTGACCAACCAAATGCACTGTTCTCGCATGGTGAAGTCACACATTATCCCCTTTCACACTGCAGTGCTGCCCTCCTGCCCTGCCCAGTACAGGTCAGGGGCACTTCCCTCCATACAGGGCTCTGGGCTGCTTTCTCTTCACCGGGTTGTTCCTGCCTAGGCTTGGGAGATCACTCAGAAGACCTGTGCGTACACCAACCATACAGTGTTGCCGGAGGCTCTGGAGCGCTGGCCGATCTCCATGTTTGAAAAGCTGCTGCCACGTCACCTGGAGATCATTTACGCCATCAACCAAAAGCACCTGGATGTAAGCTTGAACTCTGGGCTGTTTGTTGGGGGTTTGGGTGGGAAGGGGGCACTGAGAATAGAGTCCAGCTTGTAGCTGGCTGTGAGAAGCTGGGGACTGACTAGTGGCCCATCTTGTTGGGTTGAAATTATTAGAAGGGGTGGTTTGGGTGTTGGGAAGGACTAACTAATGCCAGGTGTGACTGTAGTGGAACAGACTCCTTGGAGAGGTTCTGGAGACTCCATCCCTGGAAGGTTTTAAGAGTAGGTTAGACAAACGCTTGTTTGTGGTGATTTAGACAGGGATGATCCTGCCCTAGAGGAGGGGGCTGGGCATGGGGACCTCTTGATTCTGTCTTCGTGTCACAAAACTTGCCTTTGCTTCCAGTCTCATCTAGCTGGCAGCAAACTGTACTCTTCTTCCTGTGAAGATGCAAGCTATCCAGTGCAGGGTCAGCTCTCTGTGTCACTGGTGCTGAGCTTTCTCGGTGGAGAAATAGCTAAGTTCAGCCTCTGGGGTTGCGCCCTCCAAGGGCACCAGCAATCCTGTTCTGTGGGAGCTCAGTGCCTTTGAAAAATTCAAGCCCCCCACACCCCAAAATTGAGGGTGCAGGAGCTGCCCCACCCCAATGAGTGATGTTGCTTGAGGTCCCCCAAAATCCTGCCATATGTTCCCCCGGCTCTAATAACTTCACCCCCATCTGGTGCTCAGTGCAGCAGCAGGTGTGGCAGAACCAAGCCCCACCCACTCCCTGGTGTCTGTCCTCCCCTGTGCTCTTGGGGGAGAACCAGCAGGGCATTCCCCTGCCAGTCCCCCTTGAAGCATCCCCCTGCCTTAGCCAATGGCTCTCTGTGCATTCTGGCAGCATGTGGCAGCCGTGTACCCTGGGGACGTTGACCGCCTCAGAAGGATGTCTGTGATCGAGGAGGGAGACTGCAAGAGGATCAACATGGCACACCTCTGCGTGATTGGCTCCCATGCCGTCAACGGCGTGGCCAGGATTCACTCCGAAATCGTAAAGAATTCAGTGTGAGTGACAGGCACGAGACACACAAATAGCCGTTTCCCCTCATCCAGCTGTCAGGCCTTGCAAACCTAGCCTGGGGGTCTCTCTCTCCTTCACCATCACTAGCAGGACAGCCTCTCCAGGATTTGTTATACTGTGAGTGACACCTGCAGTAAACCCACTCCCCCACCATATGGTCAGATGTGGCTGTAAAGGGGAAGGAAATGTGCCCAGGTGTTACGGTATGAGGCACAATCTATGTTTTGTCCCACTGATGAAGAGAAAGAGACTTTGGGTGGACTGGAGGAACTGCTAAATGTAGATTCCCAGGAAAAGCAGCTCTTATCGGAGGCACCAGTGTGTAGGTGGAGGGGTTAGTTATGCAGATGCATTTGAGGCCTACTCCAGCTTCCAAGAAAGTCCGTTGAAAAATCTCAACAGGAATTGTTTCAAGCTCTTGGCAAGTACAAGTAGAAGCAGGTTGGTTTAATGATCCTGTTTTATAAGACAGCTCCAAATGAATCGGGTTCAGTTCTGCCCCCCGTTCTCTGTCTCAGATTCAAAGATTTCTATGACCTTGAACCAGAGAAGTTCCAGAACAAGACAAATGGCATCACTCCAAGGCGCTGGCTCCTGCTTTGCAACCCAGGACTAGCAGAGGTTATCGCAGAGGTGAGTTATGAGGGTCTTGGGAAAACTCAGTCTCAAAACTTTGTTTCCAGTATAGTCTTCAGATAAGCAGAAACAGTGGAGCCTCATCTTCAGCTGCTATAAATCAACACTGTTTCATGGAAATCAGGAATTACAGATGTCACACTACTTGCACATTTGGTAGGTAGATGCAGGGAGTGCCACAGTTTAAAATTAGGCCTGAAGATCTTTGATTTCTCTTTCCTATGGGATAAGAACAACCCATCAGGACAGCATCACCTCCCATTGTGCTAGGACGTTTGTGGCTTGAAGTGGAGACATTCACAAAGCCAAATATCTACTACAGTGAACACAAACGGGTTTCCACACAACCCTAATTTCAGTTTGATCCCCTTTGTTTACCAGGGCTACACTTTGCCAGGAGCTCTGTGCAGTGTCCTGAGGTATCTAGTGGCTGATTTAACTTAACGCAAGGAAATTTATCATTGTACTCTCTGTCAGGGATTCCAGTTGACAGTAACTGCGAGGACACTTGGTCCTTTTTTATTTAGCTATGTTGGAGAGATATGGAAGTGTGGCAGTTAAAATTCTGGTTGCAGTAGCAGCTTTTTTCCAGGATACATTTGCACTCTAAACCAGCAGTTCCCAAACTGTGGGTCACAATAAACAGGGATCCGGGTTTTCTACATTTTCCCATGTGTTTTCTCATTCTGGGTTTCCCCTTGCAGGCTGGCAGATTTCCAGCATGCAAGGGGTTGCTTGGGGCTGGGGAGAGCAGGCGAGAGCAATGGGAGTCAGGGGGCACCATGTGTATGTGTGCACACATGCCAAGCAGTGGTAGATGGAGAGTAGCTCCCTCCAGGTTAAGTCTGTGAGGGCTGGAGGGGAGGGGGCACAGGCGATGTATTGGAGGAACAGGGGGGGGAACAGACAACGTGGTGGGAGGGCAGGGGAGCACAGGCAATGTGGGGTGGGGAGAGGGTGGAGTGCCAAGGTGATGCAGTGCGGTGCACATTCCCCCATCCCCCAAGATTTCTGCATCTACAGCAGGGTGTGAGGCCACATCAGGGCCAGACGAGCTTTGGGCAGTAGCTGCCTCCATGGCCCAGCAGGAGGGAGTGCTGCACAACCCTGGCCGCCAAGGTGAGGCACGGCAGCAGCAGCATGGAGTTGAGCACCCCCACTGCTGCCGAGCAGGCGCACCTTGGCGACTACAGCAGCACAATGCTCCCTCCTGTGCCAGGTCCTGCCTGCTGGGCTGCAGAGCCCACAGAGGGAAGGTAGCAGGGCAGGGAGTCCTGAGCTCCCCCCACCCGGGGCTCCACTCTGGCCATGGTGCTGGTGGGGGAGATGGAGAGAGGAGCTGGACTCCGCAGTCCTCTCTGGCTGCAGCAGCCATTGCCTCCCACAGGCAGCAGCTGGGGCTTGGGTGCTACTGGGGGGTAGAGGGCTGCAGGCACTGGCCCTGGGGCACCTGGGAGGGGCTGCAGTTTGGAAGTGAGGGGCCATGCTGAAGAAATGGGGTCATGCTGAGGAAAAGTTTGGGAAACACTGCTCTAAATGGATGCAGAGGAACAACCTAATCACTGTCCACGTTTTGGACAAGAAGCGTTTTAGGTTTTTTGTTTTCCAATTCGTTTTTTTTTCCAGGCAGGATTGTTCAGGTTGTTTCTAGCAGGAAAGTGAAATGATGCAGCAGCTCATCTCACAGCCAAGAGGGCATTCATATCCTGTTTTATTTCCTTAGAAAATAGGGGAAGATTTCATAACTGATCTCAGCCAGCTGAAGAAGTTACTGCAGTTTGTTGATGATGAGATTTTTATCAGGGACGTGGCCAAAGTCAAACAGGTAATGTAAACAGCAGAGAATCTAAGGAATTCTAAGGTTTGGAGAGTCTGAATTAGTATGTTTATTAAGCTAAAAAATGTTGCTGGTGCCTGTAGAGTCTCCTGGTGGGAAGGGGCCAAGTACTAGACCATCTAGTCCATACACTTAATTATGCTACTTTCATCCCACATCAATAGGAGTCTAATATCAAGATCTCATTGCAGAATAAAAACTTCTGCAACATTTTGCTTTGGAAACAATGAAACATTGCATCCAAGCTGCCACTTCGCCTCATAGGGATGTAGTTTGTATGCCTTATGCCATCTTTTAGTCCTGGGGATTAGGCTCCTGGGCTGGACTACATTGCCCATGATGCAGCGAGGCAGTCCAGCCAGAGTGTATCATGGGAGATCTGGCTGGGTCAGGTCCATTGGGGAATGGGGGTGTGAGCTACTATCCT